GACGGGGACAAGTGTCGGTGCTCCCGATGTACAAGTTACCAGGCGATTGAAAGGTCCTGGAGGAGGAGCTATCCGTCAGCAGGTGCCATGTCCAGCGATGGTGGACGTGTACAATCGCCACTACAAGGGGGTTGACAAGGCGGACCAGCTAAGGTCTTCCTACGAATTTGGGCGCCCGTCGAAGAAATGGCATAGGCAACTGTTTTGGTATGTGCTGAATAAAGCAGTGGTGAATGCATACCTAAACTGGGACGCCTACACGTCCGAAAGGAGCCGCAAGAACAAGGAGAACATTCCCGTCCACAAAACTACCCAGCTGAGTTTTCGCCGAGCGTCGGTGCGGCAGCTAGTGGGGAATTTCTCGGCCAGACGCAAAGCACCTGCTGGGAACCCGCCCGTCGTCCACCCTGTGATAGGACCAGTCATCGTTGAACACGAGCACGTTCGCCGGGGGAAGCCGACGCGAGCTTGCCGCTACTGCGCCAAAGCCCGCCGGCATATGACTGGAGCGAATCGTCCGAGACCGCACGAGACCATCTACGAATGCAGCACCTGCAACGTTTCCGTCTGCCGAGTGTCTCTTCGCCCAGTGTGCTGGCGTGAACACTTAGATGAAAGGCGGCAGCAGGTTTCATAGACGTTTTGGGGTCTATGTGTTGTAGTAGCGCCGGGGAAAGGCGTGATACCTACCGATAATGATTCTTGTGTAAGGCCGGGAAAGGCCGTTGAACTAAGTGTTGCAGGAGCGTCAATGTGTTGTAGTAGCGCCGGGGAAAGGCGAGATACCTACCGATAATGACTCTTGTGTAAGGCCGGGAGAGGCCGTGGAACTGTTAAAGTGTTGCAGGAGCGTCAATGTGTTGTACTAGCGCCGGGAAAAGGCGAGATACCTACCGATAATGATTCTTGTTTAAGGCCGGGAAAGGCCGTAGAAATGACCGTTAAAGTGTTAATGAACATAGACATCAGCAAACATAACATATTTAAATGGTGATCATATTTGCATAATAAATGAGACAATAAACATTTCTAATTCGTTATCATGTGAGGTTATTTGGAACTCTAGTTACCTTCGCCAGAGAAGATAATGTTTTCAGTGCGTTTGTTTGTCTGTCTGTCTGTTAACACCATAGCTCAATAAGCTTTGGATGGTGGGGGGAGGGGGTTAAAAGCTGTCAGGGGGACCAATCGTACATCCCTTCTTCTTTAGCCTTAACGCTTTTACCAATGAAAAATCAAGAACCGGATAGAAGATACAAATACCGGAAGTGCTACTGCATTACCAAGGAGAGCCTCTAGGGGGACCAAAATCTAATTATTTCTAGTTTTGGGGCCACCCCATCTATACTTTAAGTATCATTAGATTCCATTCATACCTTCTTGGGTTACACTGTTCTCAGACAGACATACCGATAAACGGACAAAGACATCTAAGAACATGTTAACCACCACGACTGAGGTAATAAACCAGCTTTAGAACAGAAAATTTACGGATTACTACACATGACCACATGCAGTTTCCAATTAGTTTGTATCCTTGTGAGAGTGTTGGTCAAGTGTTTGCAACATTACCTCTGTAATTTTGTAGCATTATCACTGGTTCCATCGTAGATTGTTAGAAAGCTGTCCTCAATTTCGAAACTGTCGAACGTGAGACGAATGATGCTTCCCTCCGGTACAGTGATCAACCACTCACAGGTCTCACTGTATCCATAGAAAGTTTGATGGTTCCAGCCTCCAGAGGGACCCATCAGGTTACCTCCACATCCGGTCACGCTGCTTACTGAGGAATGAGAAATATTGTTATAGACGTGGGAAACGTCATGACACGTTGTTAAGGGAGACAATAATTCATGCAGGGTTACCAGGTCCTAGACTTATTTCATTCATTGTTTCATTTATCATCTATTAGTCATGGTTATTTGGAAGTGATTTGGATTTCGTCAAGTGATTTCAACAACCTAACGTTTCCACCAGACAAATAAGCATATTTTACAATTTTAAATGAGCACGAATAGTGTTACCAATTACTAAGACTGTCCAGTGCGTTTTCTAATTCTAAATGTACCAGCCAAACCTGAGCCTAGTGCCACGATTCTATTCACTGTGATAACTACTAGATATGCAGACTCCCCGGAAGAAGCTATAGATATAGCTATAGCCGTATATTGTACCAGGAATTAGTATCTGCCAAGGCAAACAGGTAATTCTAGGTGAGTCAACTCATTAGGGTTTCAGTGCATTTCTTAATGAAATAGCACATTCAATAATGTCACACAGTTAAAAAACGCTAAGTTGAAGGCGACTTTGACAACTTTAGCAACTATGTGAATAAATACATTGTAGATCACGAGGTGACTGAATATCCTTGAGCGCTCAGTGCTCTGGCCACGTTTAGGTTACTAAGCTCTCAACAGTCACTGCCCCTGTTTAATGACTATACCTACAATGATAGATTAATCACAAAACACCATTAACCGAATGTGTAACACGGGAAACATCTAACATGGCTATAAGGAAACAACGGCTACACCATTTCCCACTAAAACAATTGCGTGGTTCTTTGGCTTTCCATGCCAAATATGGTCACAGTACATGTATCACGCACTACAGAAACTCACTCATTAATACTCCCGTCATAATAAAAGAAAGGAAAACATACCTGTTCTCAGTTCGGTAGTCGTTGCTGCTGCAGCGATCGGTTTTGTAGACATTGTCGCTGCAGTGGTCGGTTCGGTAGTCGTTGCCGCTGCAGTGGTCGGTTCGGAAGTCGTTTCCGTTGCAGTGGTCGGTTCGGTAGTCGTTGCTGCTGCAGTGGTCGCTTCGGTAGTCGTTGCTGCTGCAGCGGTCGGTTCGGTAGTCGTTGCCGCTGCAGTGGTCGGCTCGGTAGTCGTTGCTGCTGCAGTGGTCGGTTCGATAGTCGTTGCCGCTGCAGTGGTCGGTTTGGTAGTCGTTGCCGCTGCAGTGGTCGGTTCGCTAGTCGTTGCTGCTGCAGTGGTCGATTCGGTAGTCGTTGCAGCTGCAGCGGTCGGTTCGGTAGTTATTGCCGCTGCAGCGGTCGGTTCGGTAGTGTTTGCCGCTGCAGTGGTCGGTTCGGTAGTCGTTGCCGCTGCAGTG